CAGAAGTGAAGGGATTCAGCATAGCAATCACCCAGGGTGATCTCAGAGGAGAACTGTGACAGCAGGAAGGTGAGTAGCTGTCGGCTTGGCTCCGTTGATCTCTCCTGGATAAGCTTCTCTATCGATCTGACCCTTTTATTGGGGCCTGGCATTGCTGAGCAGGTTCTGCTCGTTTCTGCAGCCTTTAAGCATTTGGACCATGAGCTAAAGAAAGGCAAGGCCTGGTTAATGACTGACACGAGTGCCAGGTGAGCAGAACCAGCATGTGCTCTGGGAGGTGTAGGAACAGGAACGTCACAGCCACCATCAGGCTGTGGGCAGGGGACCCACTTGTCACTGGGGTAGCACACAGCTTTGCCTGTGTCACCCGCTGCAGGAGCAGTGTCACACGTGGCAGCATCTGCTGCGGGAGGGCCAGCCAGCCTTAGGGAGCAGGGTGGGGAGGATCCTGTGAAGGAATAGCCTCTAGCCTTCCGAAATAATAGGAAATTATTTTTTCCATAGAACAGAAAAGAACCAAAGTGTTTCTGGGCTTTATTTTTTTGGTTTGTTTTTTTTTTAAAGGGCTTTTTTTTTTTTGTGTGTAATGGCATGTCAGAACAGGACAGTCTACCTTCAGCACCTACCAAATTGCAGTGCTCACCAGCCTGTACAGCCCGATTGCGGTGGTCATTCTCCGCTGGCGTGCATGGGGAAAGGAATGCAGAAGGGGTGTGTGGGAGCCGTGCAAACCCAACTGCTGCTGAAGCTAAAAAATGCTTCGTTTTCCAGCACTTGAGTATTCAGTGCACATACAGACAAGCACTTCAAGGAGACCCTGGGTTGTTTTTTTTTTAATTCTTGGAACAAGGAGAGATAAGGGAGCAGGAGAGACAAGGGACAGCGTTACATGACATAAAAACCAAACTCCTAGGTTTTATACAAGAGATCAAATCTCAAACGTAGGATGTGATCTTATTAAGTGACTCATTCCTACAGCTGACAGGTACCCGGGGATTTTCTTTTGACAGGAAAACATTTGTAGAACTTCTAACACACTACCTTACGAGCTCACCGAAGTGGAGCGTTCCCAAAAGTGTAACGATTAAAGGAGCATTTTGCCCCCTGAGGAGGGGAGCACTAACACACACCACTGCAAAATGCCTCTGGAAACAATGACAGAGAGTTGCTTTGCTGTAATGAAATTTGTGAAGGAAATTGGGAATGATTACTTGGCATTTGTGTGTGTGTGTGTAGATATTAATTAGCTGATCTTCCTCCAGTCTTCAGCAATCACAATTTATTTTGTTTCCATCTATTAACACAAATTGTAGTGTGATTGGACACATGGTGATTTTGCCCTTTTTTTTTTTTTTTTTTTTACTGGGAAGTCCAGCTAACTTCTTAAAGAGAAAATAAGGAGAATGTAACAAGTTTGTTTGATTCATGTTTGCCTTTTGGGATGGAGGGAGGAGGGAGAAAAGGGAGAAGTAGGAAAAGAGCTTGTCATATTCTCCAGAACAGCTTTATTTCCCTTTTATTACAGCTCTTCCCTTCCAGTGAGAATCAAAGTTCTTCTTTCTGTTAATAAAAGAAAAGTGCTGAGTGGGGACCACAGCCCCACCACGGAACAGATCTGGAAATGGAGTAAGCGGGCGGTCTGCCCATGTCCCAGGCTTCATGACAAAAAATGAATAGGAATATGCTAGATAAAAATAATACAGTGTGGGGAACTAACCTCCTGCCAATCAGATGAGGTGTAAGGAAAATGTTATGAATATGATGAAGTTTTGATTTTGTTAGGAGTCATCTGCTTCCAGCACTGGGACTGGCCAAGGCAGGGCAGCTCCTTCAGCCAGAGCTCTACCACAGGAGATGACCTTTGTCACAGCTCATCTCAGTCCTGTTCTGAGAGATAATGATAAGTATTATGTTCTCTGTAAGAAAATTCTATAAGAAAACTGTCACTACCAGTAAGTTTAGATGAATGACTTATATAATGGAGGGGGAGAAGGGAGGATTTTGAAAGCACTGTCACTACTAGAAACTTACCCATCTGAATATTTACTAGGACAAAAAAAAGTAAGTAGGAAAAGAATGAAGACAAATAAATGGGGATGTCTTTCCCTTTCTGTCTTAGTGAAGACAATCCTAAGAGAGAATTAAGAGGCAAAACTAGACCACCACTTCAGCTCTTCACTTTAAACAACTTTAAGCACATTTGAAAAATGTTTTCAGCATATTCCTGAGGAAAAAACTTGTAATTCTATTGGTGCCAATTGGGTTGCAGGAACAATGGAGAAAATAAGAAAGTCAAACTGATGAAGTGAGTGAGTGAAGAAATTTGGGCAATGACAGTGATGGAGTTTGTTTGATTTGCTCAGAAAAATCACAAGTGTGAACCTATCACACTTGCTCTCCCATAGATTTTAAGTACAATCAACTAAAATGTGCCTGGTAAGTAAGAATACTTCTCAATTTATGCCCCGTCCTCTCTACAGGCAGGCTTAAAACATTGAGTTTTCCAGCTGTTTCACATCCCTTTAATCAGTGAAACAAAATCTGAATAAAAATAAATTATTAATAATAATAAAATATTAACAAAACCTTCTTGAGGCTGTAGAATTCACGTTAGCCTCCTCCAGCATGAAAATAGACCTGCTGTGCCTTTGTAGACCATCCAGCACACAATTCTCTGTTTCTCACTGCTATAACATAATATAAATATCAAACAATAACTGAAAAGAGACAACTGATTTTAAAAAATGTATCTAGAAATAAATGCTATGAGTTTGGAAGACAAGAAAAAACAAGCTACAGACATTTCCTAGAACATGGAACACTTTGGTGGCCGTAATGCATAAAAAGTGGCTGACTTCAAGTAAACATTTTTCTCATTTGCAAACTTCTTGTTTGCTGAAGAGAATACAGTTAAGGGGCAATATACCGATGCACACTTGATCTCTCTTTTCATGTGCTGTTTTACATCTTTTACAGAGCTTCTAAGTAAGTTTTAAATTTGTAGAAAATGAGTAAGATGCAAAAATAAAGAGCTATGATATATTACAGTGTTTCTTTGAGACAGCTGTTGGAAGTGGGTGATTCAATGCTTATCCAAAGCTGATATATTTAAACTATAAGAAGTAGAGACACTTGATACTCACCTTAACAGGGCTCACTGACCTGGTAGGGAAAAAGTTATGTTCATCCGTAGGAAGCCAGCGTGCACATGGCTATGCATGTTCCAAACACTTCAATATCTAGCAATCTTCCTATTGTAGCCTCACTGTCAAAATGACATTTATTCTTTTTAACACAAAAAAAAAGTGTGAAAGACATAAAAATCTTAAATGGCTGCAGCAAACCAGGGTATTTTCATTCATGTATTATCTTACTAGCTAAGGTTGTCTCAGACCTTAGTAACAGAGTTTATACGAAAGAAATTCCTGCTCATACTCAAACAATCACCAGACAACATTCCTCTTGTATGAAAATAATATGCCTTTAATTTATTTACAAGACTGACCAACTGGATGAAGTGGCTGTACTTCAGATGCACTGCAAGAACTTCCATTAGTGAACTATGTCACTAGTCATATGTGTGTAGTTTCTTGATATCAGTTATAAAACATACAATCAAACGAATCATGAAAGGATTGTGAAGAGTGAGATACAAGGAATGTACACAGCAATTTGACAGGAGAGAAAAAAAAAATTAAGATCTTTCTAGACCCACTTGCAAGAATGTAATTTTAAAAGGTGAAAATTGTTTTTTCACTACTTAATAGATAATATGAATGGACTGATTTTTTGACTTAATGTCAACATCTACAGTAAAAGTCAGTATGTCTCACATTTGCATGCTAGCTAGTAACATCTGCCAGTCGTACAACAGTTTAATATATATCGAATCCTTCTGGGAGCTTTGACATCACTAAGTGGTGAAACATGTATGACATTAAGATAAGAAAATACAGTTATATTTCTTACCTTCTGGCCAGCCATTCGCAACAACAAATTAAGCAGCTGTTAATAATTTCTGTCATTTCATATCTCCCATAAAAGTGCATGTAAAAAATTTCACAGAGGTGCTAGGTAGCATACAATTACAAGAGAAAGCCTTGGTTTCTGATACATTCAATTTGCTAAATTTATGCACTAAAATGAAAGATAAGATGCAGACATTGTGGTATCAGTTCTTTATCTTTGGTAAAATGTTCTCGTTTTATTATAGCCATATTTGCTCTGATATCCATTTTGTGCATGGTCTGCTACTATTTAAACCAACAGGAAACACTTAAATGGATATAAACAGTATCAGTGTATTATTTAGTACATTCATGACTTTCTTCATACATTCTTTGAGAATGTTGCTAGCATATGGGGAAAATGAGCAAATGCTACCATCTATTAGGTTTTACTCCTGGTTTAACATAATACTCTTACTAGTTCTTGCCATTAAGAAAAAACATTTTTTTTTTGCTTTTAAAAGACAGGGATCAATATGACTCTAAGAACAATAAACTCTAAAAATCTGAAGTAAAAATATCAAATATTTTGTACTTTCTTACGAATGCTAAAATAGAAAATTACACTGGAACTGACTTAAAATTTGATACTATGACCCATCTAAGTAGAAAACAAAAAAGGACCACAGAGAACATCAACAATCGCTCCAAGGTTTTCCAGCAATGGTCAGTAAGTGACCACTCTCTACTGCCTTAAAAATCTGACTCTCTTCCCACCATTTCTATCAGTATTAAAAGAAAAAAGAAAAAAAAAAAAAAAAAAAAAAAAAAAAAAAAAAAAAAAAAAAAAAAAAAAAAAAAAAAAAAAAAAAAAAAAAAAAAAAAAAAAAAAAAAAAAAAAAAAAAAAAAAAAAAAAAAAAAAAAAAAAAAAAAAAAAAAAAAAAAAAAAAAAAAAAAAAAAAAAAAAAAAAAAAAAAAAAAAAAAAAAAGAGGAAAACTAGTTTTAAAGCAGCACTCTCCAGTGACAAATCATACAGCAAATTCACATTGGGTTTGTTACACTTGAATGTATTAATGATGCAAACCTGACTGTATGAACCAAAGTTATACATACACAGTTAAGTCTCCAAATAGCTACTAATTACACAAAATCAATTTGGCAAAGTGAGAGAGTTCAGTATCCCCACACCTGAAATATCCAGATGGTGCTGCATTCACACAAAGAATAAGTTACATTACCACAGCTCATAACGTGGGGACCCTGAAACACTTAACTCCATCACAGATCTTTGCACATACTTTTTACATATGCAATTCAGTATGAATACTGGAAACCTTTGGAATCACGATTTTGATAGAAAATAAGGTCTAAATTTTTTTTAAGTTCTTGTTTCGTGTCTTTTTGTTGTCTTTGTTATTTTACAAATTGAGTGGCAAGTAGGTGATGGCAAGACATTCCACAGCTATAGGCTTGGGTCTGCTCTACTGGCTTTATTCAGACAAGCCATCCTCACTCACGCCAGCAGTGACATGGGACAAAACAAAAACCAGAACTCACAGGGGCAGGATCAAGTTTGTGGTGCCCATATAAAAAAAAAAACAAACAAAAACATTCACATTGTGTCGATGCTCACATCTCAGTTCTTCAACAATACATTCTTGGTTTCAGAAATAAAAACCAGGTAACACTCAAAAATGCAAATGACACTATTCTGACCTATTCTTTGACACAGTGTTATTATTTTCAGTATCTCTGTATCATCAAGAACAAAAACAAATGCGAAGCTGCAATTACTGTAGAAGCGAAGTCTAATATTCCAATGATTTCCAATGAACGTGGCACTTTCCAATTTAAATTAAGTTTAAATTCCAAACTCCGAATTAGCTAACGGGACTGTTCATAAGGGTTTAATGAAAAACTGCCCCTGAAGAGCACAATCATTTAAAAAAAAAAATTCTTTATTATTAGAAAGTGATAAAAAGGAAGATGCAGAAATGGGGAGTGGAGTAATACAGTTTCAATACATCTATTTGCACCAGTGAAAATCATGCTTGTAGCAAGCTGTTGGTAGCTCTGTCACCGATGGCTGAGGGTCTCTGCCCATGTACACATGTAGTCAGCCACTTCCCACTGCTGCGCTGCCCACATTGACGCAACACACACGCTAAAACACAACCAGCTTTGTGCCTGACTCTCCTGGATGCTGAGCACTCCCAGCTCCCGACAGGCCCCTCAGTCTCAACCAAAGCATAATCCTGACAATAATTTAGTGGTCAAAAGTCTTAGGAATTTTTTGCTTTCTTTGCTTTTTTCAGTATATCACACTTTTTTCTGTTAGGGCGCCGGCATCTTTCATCAATGCTGGGTATACATTCATAATGCCACACTTCTTCCATTTTCTCCACGGGGTAAACTGCCTCCACGTAATGACGGATCAGTCTCAGCCTGATAGGATCCAGCTGTTTTTTGTTACAAGCACCTGAATGGTTGTACTGCAGTCTGAGATTCTCCGGAGTAAAGAGTTCGGGAAAGAGCCTCACGAGGAGCCTGGCAGCAAAGTTGCCGACCGACAGGCTCTGCTGCACTATCTCTCTTACCTCCTTATCAGACAGCAAATACAAAGAAGGCACGGGGAAGTCTGGATTAGGAACAACGAGTTCATCGAGTGGTATCTTGCAAAAATCCTTGCTGCTTCTCTCCGGCGGCAGCGGCGGCCCTTCGAATTCTTCTCGAAACCTCTCGGGGTTTATTGCATAGCTGAGGAATTCCCTCCGGTCGGGCCCCGGCACGTGGATTTTCCGTTGCTGTTGGTACGTGCGCCTTTGCTCCGTGTCTCTTCGCCGACACCTCTCGTCAAGCTTCCCAACAAACTCCAACGTCCACACTCTGTCGTTCTTCGCTCTGGGGTACAGTATCTGCACATAATGTCGAATTAATTTAATTCTAGTGGGGTCCAGCTGTTTCTTGCCTAAAGATCCACTACAGTTGTATTGCTTCCGTAAGTTTTCATGAGTAAACAGTTCAGGAAATAAGAGAACAAGCAATCGAGAGGCAAAGTTGCCTATGGAAAGACTGCTTTCATATATGCTTTTAATCTGTTCTTTGTTCAACAGGTAATCTGGGACAGGGACATCAAAATCGGGAGGGGGAAAGTCAAGTTTGTCAAAGTCTATAGGTACGAGCCAAATTTTTTTTGAGCGTCTGCCGGGTTTTTCATATTCAAAACTGTCTTCCACTTTTATGATTGATACATCATCCGGTAAACTAGAAGAATCGTAACAGTCATCTCTCATCTGTTCACATTCACTTCCATCCATGTATGTGTTTTCAAGCTCATCGTTTATTCGCTGCACACATTGCTGCAACCAGGCTTCTTCTTCTTGCACATCTGGGAAGTAAATTTCAGTGTACCTACGGATTATTTGGAGCCGATGAGGATCCAGCAGTTGTTTTCCAGAGTCTCCAAAGCAGCTATACCTTTCAGCTAATTTTCTGTGGTCAAAGAGTTCCGGAAACAACCTGTGTAACAGAAAAACAGAAAATTCCCCTGGAGAAGAAGCTTCATCTAAAAATTCATTGAGATCCTGAGCATCCAGCATGTAATCTGAGGCAATGGCACTACTCCTGTCCAAGGACAAAGCTTCCTCCTGCTCTTTATCCTCCATAAAATGAGAGGATTCGACCTGCTCGGTCTCATAAAAACTGGACGATTGCACGTTCTGCTGACTGTTTTCCATTTCCCTTTGAGCCCAAAACCTATTGAAAAAATCATTGACTTGAGGCAAACACTCCACCTGCCACACAGCTGTATTCTTCACAGAAGGATAACAAACTTCCACGTAGTTGCGGATGAGCTGCAGATGAAGAGATTCAAGTTTCCTTTTGTTGAGAAAGCCGCACGCGCTGCAGCTTCTGCTGAACTCATCATCGCTGAAGAGCTCCGGGAAGAGCTGCACCAGCAAGCGGCACGCGAGGTCTCCACCTGACGTGCTCTGATCCATGATCTGTTTGAGCTCCGCAGAAGTCAGCTGGTACTCGGGGGGAGGCCTGAAGTCTGCAACCGACTCTGCCGGGCTGACTTGCTTTTTAATTCTGCTGACCTCCAGAGACAACAGGTCAACTTTACTGTGAAGCTGAGTCATGTTGGTATTGAGGGTGTTGAGCGTGTAAAACATTTTCTGTATCAAAGAATAAATATTTGGGTCAGAATCTGCGGTGGCCGCTGTTACGGCAATGGCTGCCGCCGAGTCCCTTTTGCGTTGATCGTTCAAAGTCCGGAGATGCGAGGGACTGCTGGGGTTGATTTTTTCAAACAGCTCGTAAGAAGCAAACTGCTCGGCTCCTGGCGGGTTCTTCTTCTCCGTGATTTTGTGTGAGATGCCATAGAGAGGTTTTTTGTAAGATGGAGTGGTTATGTCACTGAAGGATTCTTCTTCACACAGCCACGTTACGTTAGGATTCTTGTTCTTGTTTGGCTGCTCTGCATTTACCTGAGTGGGTGAGCCAGTGTCTCTGTTCTTCATGTTGGAAAGGGGGCCCTTTGAATGAATAAATACTGTATTAGTTAAGACTGTCTTAAAAACATTAGCTATAAATACATGCCTCTTAAGCAGGCAGTTACATAAATATGCAAAGTCAAATTTTCTCCAGAGGACTTAGTTGTGTTAAATACATCAAAATTAATAAATTCAGTAGGAAAAATAAAAATGCAGAAAAAAAAAATTTAGTTTTTTTGTTTTGTTTTGGCTCATGGCTTTCTCCATGAAAGAGAAATGCAATAATAATCCTTGGTATTCTTTACCCACAGAGCTCTAAATACTCTCCCAAATTAAGTATCAATATGCTTCACCTTGCGTCTGAGGATCTTGGGCTGTAGGGAATTTGGGTGGCAACAAGTCAGCAACAGAGCCAAGAATAGAATCTAGATTTTCTGCCTCCTAGTCCTGTGACCTTGCCACTGCTTCCAACGACTGCATTTAATGTTCCAGCACTCTCTTTAGGTTAGCTTTTGAAAATACCACAAAGGTGATTAGACACCAAAAATTATGCTTATTCTCTTTTTTTCTGATATGAAAAATTTATATAGTTTCTTTTTTTTTTCTTATAATGGTGTACAGCCCCTAAACAAGTTCTAAGAATGACTGCAATTTTAAAAGAAGTATTCTATTTAAATAATAAAAATCTAAAAACAAAGCAAAAATTACCTTGGTATTTTCTTTTTTAAAATGGAAGCCTAAGATTTCTGTATTTCTGAAAGGCAGGGAAGTCTAGACTCATGGGTTTCTAATTTTCTAAATTATTTCTATGAAAAACAGTGATGAGCTCTTAAGGAATTAATGTTCTCAGTAATGTCTAACTCTTCCTCATTGCTTGAAATTGGGAGCAAGCACTTTCATCAACTCACAGCAAATACACAGAGCTTGACTGGGTTGGGTTTTTGGCAAACACATGGGTATTGCAAATAATTCTTAGGAAGTTAAGCAGATAAAACAGAATCAAAACCCAACATACAGAATTCAAACATGAGAAAACACTCACAGATTTTAGAGAAGACTACTGAAACATTTTGCTTGGCTTGTTTCACAGAACATAATTAGATAAAAAACACAGAATTTGCATTCAATTATTAAAACAAATGGAACACAGGCTTGAGGTCTGAGCTGAGAGCCACAAGCAATTTGCAATTCTAGCGAAGACCCCACTACGTCCTACAGTCAGGAACTTGAATTAAGATTCCTTTCTGAAAAAACAGAACTGTAGCACTCATGAAATTAATCTGGTCCCTATGTGTACTCACACTTGGCATCTGCTTATTGCAGTGACAAAATGAATCTAATTACTTTTTAATTTCTAATGCAATGTATACTCAAAAAAAGGCTCAGAACAAACAAGCTGGTTTCCACTCTGAGTTTAGAAACCAGCAGACTCAATTAAATTGAAGTTGTGTTTCCAAGTTCTGCTCTCATTCACATCATACAACCCTACATATGAAACCTCGTGTTTTCACATCCAAAGCTGTGGATGGCCAGGTGATACAATGCAAGCATAACACAAAGACAATATATTTCACAGCACGCAGAATCTCTAGCTGTAGTGGTGCCTAGGAGACCTGAATTCCAGGTGCATTTAGGAGACTGTCCCTCCAGTCCTACTCATATTAAAGTTAAAAACGAGGAATCAGTGTCCTGGAACACCACCACCTATTAAAGGGTGACTTCACCCCAGCAAACGGTATGCTCTACCCAGACTACATTAGCTCTTTGTGACTTGTAAAATACCAGCACACAAGAGACCAAGCTGTGATCAGACTGCAATGCACGTTGCTCCCACCCAACTGCAGTCCTACACTGGGACTGAAGTGGTCATACACCACCTCTACTCGTCCGTGGAGACACAGAGGTATTTGTGGATGGTAAAAGAGCTCTCACAAATAGACATCACCTGAAAGCAGGTCGTGAAAACCTCCACTGACAATAAACATAGTTCTGCTCCCCAGTCAGGCACCCAGGCTGAAATACAAATTTCTTTTACGATTTTAGATCCAAAGAACAAAACAAAACTGCAATTCTGGAGAATACATTTCTCACAGACACAGTGAGACCTGCTGCCCAAGTACCTAGCTTTTCCATTAACACTCCTGTTTTCAGAGAGCGTTCCAAATATTACTCCACAAACACGGTACGATTCATCCAATTCCTTCTCTACTAAATAGCTTGCCACGGGCCACCAGTCGCCAGTCAGTTCCCATCAGAACTCCTGCTGTGCCTTTTCCCTAATTAATTATATAATAAAACTTGGCAATGTGCGGGTAACTTCTATTAATGAACACCTCACACACACAGAGCCAGGGCAAAGCAATATCAGAATGTGTATTAAACAGCACAAAATCATTGTCTTAAGTATCTTATTGCCCTTTGCCAGCGAGTAGTGAGAAAGCTGGCACTCGGTGTGGGAGGGGGAGAGGTGCCCAGGCTGAGGACTGGAGCAGATCTCTGCTGCCCTTTCACTAATGCACCTCCCAGCCTCTGGATCCGGTTGCGGGACGGATTTGGTTATCTGCATTTCAGAAACACACAGCCAGTGCTCGACTAACAGATGACAACACATTTGGGCCTATTTTAACAATTTTCTATTCTCATTTTCTTTCCTTTTTCTTTTAATTATCTTGCCTTTACACAGTTTTGATCTGGGAACAGCACTATCCACAGCATAAACGTATGGCTTTCCATAAATTCTCCTATTAAACTAATATTTAATCATTTTAATTAGTTTTCTTTAACACTGATCTTTAAACATCAATGTATTTCAGAAAATACTACACCTATTTAAGATGAACAGTTTTAATCAAAAAAACTGTTCAAAAAATAACCAAAGATACTGTTCTATGAGACTCAATGTACATAAGACAGTGCTGCTTTTTATATTACATTTGCACAGCACGTTTTTGTATTACACACATTCTTTGAACATTTGCAAAATTCAGTATTTTGGTAAACATCGACCAACATAAGTAATTGTGAAATAGTCTCTCACTTTATCTCTTGGAGTCCTAAGCCAAGTTTTAAAAGTTGTTTAGTTACTGCTCTGCTCAGTGCTAAAGTCCAGCCAATTTATGTGCTTTATTATTCTTGATAAATAAAGTCTAAATATCTGTAAGAATATAAACATAACATACTAGCATATGAGTAGAGAAGAATAAATATATGAGCAAGAAATATATAAAATTATTCTATCAAACACATGAGAATTTGGAAATGTCTTGCACATAATTTTTTTAAACTTAGAATCTTCTATGTTTTATTTTGGGTTTTTTTTTTTAAAAGGAAATTAGGGAAAATTAATTTCTGGTTATGAAGTGACAATTAGAATTTAAAAAAAAAGAGAAATGTCTTCTGAAAGAAAGACATTTGTAATGTAATCACCAGCCCAATAGTACAGTTATGTAACATAAAAAGTAGAGCTCTACTTATATCATACATAGATGCCTATGTGATGTGTAGTAAATATACTACATGCACAATATTCTCAAAAATAATTAACATTTTGTCCTCTGTTTAAACAGAAACAGTTAATGAACTCATCAACTAAAACAACATATTGGTACTAGAAAAGTAATTAACTTTTAAAATGTTATTAGGATTGAGGACTATTTCTGGTTGGTTATTTAACTAAACATGCTGATTCATTGGGGTCAGTCCAGAATGAATTTTCATCATTGTTACTGGGTCACTTTCTGATATTATAAGTTCAAACATAATTCAGTTCAAATAAATTTAAAAATTTATTACAGGCAAACAGCAAACAGTAAAATCCAAAGCAAGCACAGTTCAGAGACCATTATGAAGCTCTTTTAAGAATCTGAATGTAAGTAAGTAAAACAATTGTAAAAAGAAAAAGAGAAAGGAAAAGAAAGAAACCATGTGATAAGATTAAAACCTACCTACCACAGGCATTCAGGGAAAAAAAAAACAGCCCCGAGAAGTCAGAGAGATGACAGTCAAGAAAAAGAAATATGAAGAGCTATGGCTAGAAAGGAGACACGAAATGCACAAATACAACACGGAATAACTGGCTAGGTAGCAGAACAGCAGAAAAGGATATGTGCGTTAGAGTAGGTCATAAACTAAATATAACCCAGGGCCTGAAGTTATTCAAAAGAGGATAAATTTGAATCTAGGTTATTTTAATAAAGTGCTGAGTGTGAAAAACAGGAGGTCATTATCCTGCTCTACAGTGTGTTAGAAGAGATGTGACTATCCAGCACTGGACATTACCCTTTCAGGAATTTCAAAGAGAGCAACAAAAATATAAGGTGATACGTGAAGAAGAGCTGAAGAAACAGAATTTTAGCCTTGGAAAGGAAGGGCTGAAGGTGGACAACATCACACCAATTTTCCCATGTGCAGAAGACTTTTCTATGAAAAGATGATCATTACCCTCCCTACTGAAAAGAAACTTGCTCAGTTTCAGCAAAGATTAATGAAAATCCCCAATTGCTAGAGAGGTGAAACACTAGAACAGGATAACTGAAGAGACTGGGAATCTCCTTTACCAGCTGGGCAAACATCTGGATTGTTAGAAGTGGGGTGCTGCACCAGAAGCTGTAATACATTCTGCTCTTGACATGCTGAAGTCTTCTGCATCCCTGCATTTTTATCTTTCAAGTAATATGCAAATTTCTACTTGTCTCACTGGCATCAAAATCTGTGTTGCGGAAGAATTACAGCCCTGATTCTACCACTGAGGATCCAGCTGAAGGACTGTGTGACATGAGAGGGACTGTACTCAGAGTCATGCTCGGTTAATCCAAATCACTACCAGCTCCTATGTTCTCTGACAAACAACAAAAATATACTCCACATGAATAAATTAACCTATATGTGTATTTCATAGATACGATCACATTATTTGAGGAAATACCCAGACAAGTAACGTATGCAAACTGGGTTAAGATTAGCCATATCTGACTCAAATTTGTTACTAATGCAAATCTAGTTAACTGACTTGCATTTTGCCTATAGCAGCAGTGAATTTAGCCTGTGAAATATGAACAGTAAAATTGCACAGTCATGTATAGAGAAGTCACCTCTTGTGTAAAGCGTCTTTTCTTCACACTGGGTAAGACATCTTGTTGGCTCCCTGAACCATCACACCCAAGTGAGGTCTGTTTCCGTTTGTTGGAATCCTGTAGGCAAGTAACTGCGCCATCCAGTGAGTGTTTCTCAGCAGATCTGGATGTTACTGAGCAGTCTAGAGCTTCATCTTCATTTTCTGTTTCTACTTTCACAATATTTTTTTTAGGAATTTTTACTGGAAAAAGAGAAGGTTTAGAAAGATAAAGCACTCTCTCCAGAAAACCATGACACCCTTAATATAATCTTTTGTAATTTGTTTTTTCTTTTTTATGAAAATGTGTTTTGAAGAATATAATATTTTATGACTTGTACAGTAAGTGTATGCTGAGGCCACCCCAAGTCAAGTTTTTAATACACTAGGAATGATTCAGTCATTCAATACATGACAGTTTCTTCCCCAAAGAAGAATCTAGAGTATAAACAAATAAAGTTACAGTAGGAAGATTTTTTTCAAGGGGAAGGAAGGATGTAGAGCAGAAAATAAAATTAATAACAAAGGTAACGGTGTGTTTCAGATAGCTTTCAAAAAACTATTAATGTAATCTGACTTGATCCAAGTGTACTCTTTATCAGACTACAAAGGCTATCATTCAGCAAATATTTTTGCCTGATCATAGATTACACAAAGTATAATATTTTACCTTCATCATCTTCAGTGATTTCAGCTGAATTCATCTTCTATTTCACTAGAGAACAAAAAAAAAAAAAATCAGCATCTTCTGTAATCAGGAAATATCTACATCTATTTTTATAATTACTTTCAATCTAGAACCACTGGGCATCAACAGCCCAAAGATCATTTCCAATCTGTAAATTTGTAGAACCTAGCTATTTTCAATAAACGTCATGGCCCTCTATAGACCTGCATACGACAGCTAGGAATGCATCTGAAACAATGTGTCTTGTTCTGGCATGGAAAAAATTAAAATTCATTTTAACCTTCTCTATAAATTATCTTGCTGCTACATAAACTGTATTAAACTCACCACCCTGTACCAAGTCACTACTTCTTATTACAGTCAAATCTTTTTATATTGTCATTGTGGGTGATCCAAAGTCATCACAGAAGGAAAACCCATCATAAACTGGAATATACACGCTGGAGCATGTTTTCATTTAGAAATCTTTGCTCTTTTGATATGGACTGCATCAATTCAAGGAGAGCAATCTGTAAATCTACGGTAACTATTTTTTTCCTAACTGTCAGCCTCTAAATAATGTAAAGAACGCTTTTGAAAGGAAAAACAAAAATTTGTATTATTCTAGCATTATTTCTCACATGAAAGACTCAGTTGTATTTCTGTTTCCTTGAAAACTAATTTTGCAAGTTGCTTAGGGGCAAACATCAATCTGTGGACATATTCCTAAAAGATATTCTAAATATTTTGGAGATCTACAAAGCAAACAACCTAATGGGATCTCACTGACCGTTACAGGGCACACAGCTGCAAACTGACACTCTCAAATGGTAAGCTGGTGACTGGTAAACGTGTCACACACCGCTCGTGTTCATCTACACGCAGCATTATGTTTACACGGGCCCAGAATATCATTGCTCTACATTTTCTACAGTTACGTTCTTCTTCCAAATAGTTTTCTTTCAACTGCTCCTGCCTGTCCTTTAGCCAAGGTCTGAAATCAAGGCAGGCTTCTCTCTGGCTGGAGCAAGTGAATAAATCAACCTGTCAATCAAAAGTGTACTTACAGCCCAGCAGTGGGAATTGTAACGAAATTAAAAGAGATTAGGAAAGAAGGAGAGAGGGAATCTGTTTTGGAGGGAGAAAAAGGTCTCTATCTTACTTTCTAATACTGTGCAATAGAATTATTTTTTTAAATCTCAAAATATTGTTAAAAAACTCTGCAAACACTCGAATACTGTGTAGTTATGAGTTTTTCTTCATCAGTAACTGGTGGCTGCTAATGGTAAGATCCCATTCAGAGTAAGATTTTGTACAAATACACTACAATGGGTAGCGCACACACCCAAACAAAAGATGCATGAAGTTATAAAATCAGCTCACACTACTCTAGAACCCAAAATATCCTTTGGTGTGCTGATCTTCAACACAGCCCCTATATACAGCCTTATAAAGGGCATCCTTAAGAGAATAACATGAGATTGCCTTCATCATCATGTCACCAGAAAAAAGTCTCTCTCAGTTGGAAGTAGAGCTACTACAAATCCCTTAGATATCTACCCTTTTACCCACCACAATCCCCTACTTCAAGACTTGCATCTATTAATTGATCCACGTTTAAATTATGCCAGCTTATAGTCACTTCACTTGAACTTTTGCAAACTCTGTCGAGATATAACAGCAGAAATAGGTTGCCCAGAGAGGTGGTAGATGCCCCATCCCCAGCAACATTCAAGGTCAGGTTGGACAGGGCTCTGAGCAACCTGATCTAGTTCAAAACGTCCCTGCTCATTGCAGGGGGGTTGTACTAGATGACCTTTAAAGGTCCCTTCCAGCCCAAAATATTCTATGATTCTATGATAACAGCGTGAAACGTAAGTGGCCCACACCTACTTCTAAACTATCTGATAAGTATTGACCCTCACCAGTGCTTAAGTGTTATTATTTCAACATCATTCATTAATTTAGAAACAGTCACTGCAACTCTTTATGAAAAATCCTAAGACAGTGTACTGAGCAAAGCGCCATCAAAAAGCTTAAGAAAAGCAGACAGTACTACATGTTCTTATTTTGCCCTGATATCCCAGATATCAGGGCAAAAAACTGAATTGACATTCAGTTTCCAGATCTTTCTTATGCTTTTCCACACTGCACTAGGCTTAGCTCTGAGGGATGTGGTACAAGACCAATGTGTGCCAGTGTTCAAGAAATGTGACACAGAGTCTTTTTGTGAGGGCTGGAGGTAACAGTAAGCTAATCAGCCAATCCCACTACAGGATATTCTGTAATGGAAATCAAAATGGTTTTCCAGATAATCCTAGATTTGCTCTATTAGATCAAAATGCTAAAAGGATGGTCAACACAGAGTCAGAAGGGAAGAATACAAAGGTGGCAGCAGGGAGGAATGACACAAAATATTTAGGAGGGGATATGGGGAATTATATTTTCCTTCTGACTCCTGCTACTACCGCTATTCACATGGGAAGAATGCTTTAGGAGAATTCCTCTGAGAGAATACAAGACAACTGGAAGGAGAAGATAAATGAGGATCTCAATAGCTACTCTTTAAAACTGGAAAAAGTGAAAAGTAAAGCAGTGTTTTAGTTCCTTTCTAAAGGACACACCAGCAGGAAGACCAAAGCTATCCTAAACTCAGGTCAAATAATATTAAGCCAAAACACTTTCACATATTTGAAGTAAAGCACTAATACTTATTTTGAAAAATTGTTTTGTTTTTTTTTTTCAAACCTGCCAGAATACACTTAAAAGTGAATAGTCAAAAGAGCATCAGAATCGGTGGGTCCTGGGAATACTGGGTTTCATATTTGAACTATTTGGTGCCAAACAGAGCAGAAGCTCCAACCCAGCTTTGGGAAGCCCTAGTAATAGCTCTCTTAATATCTGGTTTCCTATCATCTTTGTGCGATTTGCCAGAACTTTGGTATTACGAGGCAATGAAGCACATATAACAGCTTCTGTCAAGAGACAGGAGTCAACTGTCCCCCTGATTTCCTGCCTCATAGTCCCACCCACTCTCTTGGTCAAGCATGGGTGCCAACCTTAAGTGAGCTCTTCCAGCTTGATAAAACTGCCAGAAAACAATTCACTTCTTTCTTTGCCAGGTTACTTTTCTTCTAATTCAGAGGCAAAGGGTAACGCAAGTAATCAGTCCCAGCTCAGGAGCACGCACAAGGTTTGGAACAGAAAGGAAAGATTAAAAATCTCTTATACCAGCAAGCCACTGGCTTGGTTCAACCACTTCATAAAACTCCCCTTACCATCTATTTGCATGACCATCTCGCTTCAAATTTCGGTAGTAACAGACTCACAAGTGAGTAGTGAATGGACACAGAGATATCAACAGAGCAATTGCATCATTGCTTCCATAGGAAATTAGAGCCTATGGGAAGGGGAAAGTCTGCGTATGTGTGTGTGCGTATGCCTGTCTATGTAAAGTTAACAATGATTTCGTTGGCTGTTTAAAGTATGCTAAAGATATAACATGTCAGATTCTTTAAAATACTGTTTGCAGTAAACCAGTACTTATGAATAGCAATTATTGCCTCCATAGAAAAGGCAGTAGTGTCAAAATCTGTTTTGAGGCAGCATTCTGGCTTAGATTGTGAGAACAAACAAAGCCAGAGAAAAAACAGACCTAAAAGAACTTGGGACAAAGTAGCGCAAAGAGCAATCAAGTAAGAAATCCATCCCGTTAAGTAAACACCTGACAGTTGTTCTTTGTCATGTTGAGTATACAAACATATTTCATTCTTACCTTATAAGGTCTTTTTTTCAAAAGAGAAGATAAATAGATGTATCATCCTTAGCCTAAGGCTGACTCAGTGCTCTCTACAGGACAGCAGTCAGCTGGTTCACCCTGCACTGAAATTGGGAGCCCGGGTCTGCAGCGGTGACGGGCAGAGCAAGCAGCACTGATAGATTTAACTTGCTGGGATACAGATGGATGCTGCAGCACATCCTACTTTCTGGTGAAAAGAGGATCTGGAAGGAGGATTCCAAAATATAGCAAACACCTACAACAGCAACTACGTCAATAGCCAGATCCTGATCCTAATGAAGTCAATTGCCACAGCAGCATAAGCACTGTATCCCTAAATTTCAGTTGAAACTTTGGGTATTTCCACCTGAACTGGCCAAAAAATCATGCTTTACAAACTGTGAACATAAACCTTAAACTTAAAATTTTAGGATTTTGCTTGTAAATATTTTAATTTGTAAACCAAGTTATTTTAGAAGCATTTTCTCTGGCTTGTTTTGGTTTCTGTCTTGTGCAAAAAGTTAAATTCCAAAGAATGGCTGAATAGTTTAGAAATACATAACAGAACAGGCACACAATACAGCTTCTCTATGCTTATAATAAAACATGGGTAAAACACTCAGAAAGAACAATCCTGATTATGGATCCTACAGCTCTGAATACTAAAAAATGAAGCAAATAGCTAATACTCTCACTTTCTCTTCAAAGGAGATTCTGCTTTTGATTAATGGCAGCTTGCTTCTAGTACAGTCATTAGCTAAACTTATCTAATGTAGGATAAACAGGAAGACGTGTAGCACTTGGGACAAATTCAAGAATCAAGGAAGAAGAAGTAAGCAGACCCCATCCTCACAATGCAAACAATAAATCATTAGATTTTACTGCCTACATCTCATCTACTGAGAACAGTCTTCTTGAAAACAGCATGTAGTTTAAAATGTCTATGTAATCAATGTGTCAAAATAAACACCTTGCTGACGAATCAGCATATACTCACCTTCCCATCTAAACTGCCTTGATAGCTACTAGTGCTGGTACTGTACAGACACTTGTGCTGAGCCACTGCTAGGTGTCACGCAAGGGAGCCTGTGGGATGCCAGCACTCACCTGGGAAGACACAAACATTCCTTTTTGGCTCAGTCCTCCAGACTCACCCACACATCCTGACGCTTCCGAAACAGTTTAAAAAGATCAACCAAAAAAAGACAGTTTTCTGCGGGTTATTAAAAATTTGTTCTTCTAAGGGAAGTGAATAAAACCACCTACATTCGCAATCATGCAAGTGACAATACTATTCTTTTTAAACTAATGTACAATGAGAATATTTGCAGAGAATGGATGCGATATATAGCTTTGTGTCCTCTTTTAAGTTAAGCTACTTCGAATAAATTCAATATGCATTACAGTCTAACTGTAGACACCAATCTAAGTGTGTTTGCTTTGTAGTCTTGAGATTTGCAGCAAGATCCAGAAATTCCACTCGGCTACCAGCTAAACTTGTAGGTGACTATAAATTCTGGATACTGAGTTTCTGGTGGACTGCACAGAGAAAACTTTTTAAGCCGGGCTGGGACTGCTGCACTAAGAACTCCTCTGCATCTGCAACTCTCCTCTGCTGGCTCCTGTTCAACACCCATTTTCAGAACACGCTCAGTACTTTGGGACTTTCATAGAGGACAGTCATAAATAAGTGCAGGGTATTTCACTTACCAATGACACAGTGCTTAGATAGGTACTTGGGGGCCAGAAAACCTGTTTTTCTTTCTTTCTTTTTTTTTTTCTCCCCACTTTCCCTGCTCTGGATTTTGCAGCATAGACAAGAATCTAGGTCCCCAAATTCTACAAGAGTGATCTAATCACCAGGTTATGGCGTGCTGGAGGGCAGGTGGGAAGAGGAGTGGTGGGGCCAGGGCATGAGGGGACAAGGAGAGAAGGGGAGGGTCCCAGCACACCTTGCCTGTCACTATTCCTGCCCACAGATCCTGCTCTCCCTTCTCATCAGCTTAGACAAGGAACCAGACAACTCAATGAAGGGACTCTACACTCCCTGCTTCCATCAGTATCACTTAGACACACGCCTCTATTCAGAAGACTCATCGGGTTATTGTACCATTGCAACATTTTGCTAACAATATTCAACATTGAAATAGTATTAACCAGCTAACAGGGAAGCTCAGTGCATAGCATAAGTCTGCGAGTTTCAAAGCACAGAAAAATACCTTAAAACACGAGGTTTCGGAGCGTTTTTCTGTGCACCTAGTACCAACTACCACCCTGGTGTTGCTTTTGCAAGTAGAGCAAAAAATGCGATCTATTTATCAAAAATGTGCCTACCTGAAATACGCACAGAAGTCTTAAGATTTAAAGAATTTAGGTACGAAAGATTTCATGAATAACAGAGCAAATTGAGAATTTTACTCTAAATGTATTTCAGTCTCATATCATCTAGTATAATGAAGAATGCTACTTAAAAGTAGCATAAAAGTGTAACTACCTAGTTATTAATATATAAATCAGAATTGTATCTTAAGCCCAAGTTAAACCTTGCCATGATGTGCATTCTCCTGCTCCTGTTTACCACCTAACAATTACTCGTGTTGGCCTTGGAGGACACTTTCCCTACCTTTTATGATCGTCATGATTGTAAAACTGCAATGCAAAGAGAAAAGATCTTGCTGATAACGTAACATTCAAGGCGGGTCTCTGCCTTTGCAAACATTCCTAAAGAAAGCCTGATTGATGACTTTCAAGTTCTGATTTAAAGAGAAAAATAACAAAAAACAACAACAAAAAACCATCAAAGAAAAAAGTCTACCAGAAAAAAAAAAAGATACTGTTGTTCTGCTGTTTATAACTAAACAGTATAACTCTTTACTCCTCAAACTCCCGTACCTAATGTAATAAGTTCTGAAAATTGAAAAAAAAAGCACAAAAACCATGTAGAAAGGTATAAAAGTGCACAAATGCTGTATGTAGAAAGCAATTTTGATTTCATAACACCTGTTAATTATAATTACAAATGTAAATGAATCATTATATTAACTAATGCACTCAAATATAATAAGAATGCCTGTTATCAGTTTTATAGAAGTTTGCTATTTTTAATCTAAATGTTTGCATAACACTGTACTGTTCAGTTCATTAACGCATGGTAAATGTAGGTGTTGCTTCTGGAATGCACACCATCCCACTAAATATTTTAGCATTTTCATGTAGGCTGGCAGGAATGTCTCTAATTCTGTATTATCAATTATAAGAATGTTATTAAAAATACAGGGTTCTAGGCATTGTATATTATGAGATATTTATTCCTTTTCAAACCTCACGGTGGTACATTGCTTCATATATAAAACTCAGAGGCTTCGATGAAAAGTATTCTACTTGAGTGTCATTTCCTTCTGAAGCGGTCATTTGTCCTCCACATTTTGGTCAAAAGATGAGATACATGTGTTTGCTAGTAACATTAAATGTGTCTTTAGTAGCATATGCGGAATAAGCTGCTCAATTTCCTTGCTTTCAGCATACAGTGTGAAAGATACAACACCCCTCCTAAAGCACAGGTACCGTAGCAAAGTTAAATAAATGATAGAAATACCAAAAGAGCTTATATTCTAAGGAGTTAACGCTGGCTAAATTTCACAAGATCTGTACATTGAACTGCCATTCATCAGTCAAAAGTAGCACCTCCTCTTACACACGCCCTCCTGTAACAGGACTTTCTCACAAAATGACAATGGCATTATGCTACGTAGCCAGAGTTTAGTTTATCCAGAGCCAACCAAAACTATTGTATATATATATTCATCCTCAGCAAGGGACAATTATTATTCAATCTAGTAGTTAAGACACTCACTGGACAGTCAAATGCCTGAGGTCCCACTCCCCATCTCTGGCTCTGTATTTCATATGAAGCACGCACTGGATAAAGCACAGAAAGGAGCTCATGCTTCCCAAGGGGAGCCCACAGCCTGGAAAGCAGGAGTGGGTAGGTGGAAGCAGTCCTGTCCCGCACAGCAAGTGAGCGGGGGGCTGCTCCAACCACCCGCTGACAGCATGAAATACCGTCCCTCCTGACGTTTGAGGAGAACGATTCCTGCGCAAGGCTATGAAATAAGGAGAGCAAACACCCCTTCTCCACCCGCAGCCCTGCAGTCCCAGCAGGAGGCAGGAGGGAAGGCGGGTGCCTCTGCGCAGGCTGCCCAGGAGCTGCCTCCTGCCCGGGGTGCGTGGCGCTTCCCAGGCTCTCTCTGGAAAAGCTCTCCCGCTGGGCTGCAGCAGCAAACCTACAGAAAGGACAAAGAGTTCTGGGTTCTGCTTTGGGAGCCAAGTAATCTGCGTCTTTCACTTCCTGGCTGTAGCACTGGGTTCAATAATTTCAATATCGCAATTATCCTCGGGGTACATTTGATTCCTCCAATTTGTAAAAAACAATGCAACTCAAATTCAATTCAACTGAATTACACATAAATACCACTCCAAAACTGAGCCGTAAAATGTACTTCTTAGAGGTGATGTTTGCATTCTGTTGAGTTCCATGGACTAGTGATTTGCAGAAATGTGACATGGTCTTCTCAAAAAATCAACACAATGCAAATTTTTTTTCTGGACTTTTTGGCATTTTCATAAATATTTTTATTTTCTATTTAAGCATCTTTCTGCTGCTGAAAAACTCATCACCACACTTACTGGTATGATGCCCAGAATAAGCAAACAACTGGGAAGGGTCACTGCCAGTCTATTGCCTGAAACAAGGTAACTTACTAATGTTACAAATTACACCTAAAAACATTAGAACAGACAGAAACTGGGGGTGGGGGGCAAGGGGGAAGGAGGAAATCCGTATTGTTTGATTTATCCACCTGACCACATTGAGTTAGGTTTCCTCATAACTTGTGACTTCTCTAAGGAAAAATTTTGAAGAGGCTTGGGAAGTTTCTTGAAAAGGCAGCAGGTTCAAGAAGTCTGATACCTGAAACCACCTTAATTAAAAAGAAATAGATAATTGATTTCAAATTGACTACCGATCTCAAAGAAACTATGAAATAAGAATGTTGCTTCAGTTAACTGAGCAATGAGCAAAATGTGAGTAGGTAATATAAAGAATCCTAAAATCAGCTGTTTTCTATTTTATCAATTTTGAGATAGTAGGGGGCTGCTAGTGACCCAAGAGTTTTTGAGTAAAATTTCTTTTTGATACCCAGTATGGATATGTGAAATATCAAATACCTTAGAAACCAGTATTCCAACGTTACAATCATGTTCCGGCTATAAATACATGTAAAACAAGCCTAAAATTATGGGAAAAAAAATATTTTTAAAAGAACCAGCAGACGTTGCTGAAAGCATTACCCTTATGGACAATAAAATCCCTATACTTAACATAGTTTGAAAACCTCCTCTGCTGCCCTGTGGAGGAGGACAGGAAGCCTCAAGTCTCCACTGAAGCCAGCCTGCAACGAGGGCATTTTGCCAATAGGTCTTACAGGGCATGTTCTCAATTTGGGTCTTTTTTTAAAATTATTATTTCATTTTACTTATATTTGCAGATGCAGTTTAAATAAGTAATAATTAAAAAAACTATTGAAATAACTCTTCTGAGTTTTCCCATAAGTTGCCTAAAGCTGAAGTTTTCTCAACCTGCCCCCCTTACTTTATCAAACACTGATTTAATCTTGCACTGGTCAGCAAAACACTAACCTAGTTTATTTCTAGAGTGAATGCATCAATTTCGTTTTGCTTCAATTAGGCGGTTCCCCCCTCCCAACCATTAGAAACAACATTTTGTTTTCCTGGGTGCTTTATCCTCTCTCCCCTCATTCTCTGTTTTTGTTTTAAAACACCGTTCCAGCTGAACTTTGCACAGACATGGTAAAAAATCTCCTCCAAACTGCAAACAACTTTCCTTTCTCTTTACCCCCCGGACTCACCCAAACTGTGAGAATACTCAGCAAACACAAGCAGCGTGGTTGCTCCAATGCTGAGTTTGATTTAACGGGAGAGAGGAGGAAAGCGAATCAACACCTACCGGCAAATCTTTGTTTTATTAGATGTAAGGTTCACGTAAATTCATGATCTGGGGACTGGGTATCACCCAGAAGCAGGGAAAAGGGAAAAGGGTATTATTTCTGTCCCTGTTTGACGCCCGTGCCCCAGGGGTGGGCCGTATCTCTGTTTTTTGTACCGGGTGGCAGCCCCAGGCGCTGCCCCCCACCTTCAACCCAAAAAGCCGTGCGGGGCTGCTGCGCCAGGGCCGTGTGGCGGCCGTCACATGCCTGCTGGCCCGCCGCCGGCCCGTCCCCTCCTACCGACAACGGGGCTGGCTGGACACACCGCCGGGGAAAGCAGGCTGCAGGCACCCGGCCATCCGGGCAGGGACGGGCCGTTCCCCGCCGCCGGCGAAGGCGGCCTTCTCCGCTCCCGACGGCGGAGGACCCGCCGGAGTTACCACAGAGCCATCCACCTCGACGCCCCGGCCACCTCCCCCGTCGGGCAGGGGCCTGCTCCCCGCTCCCCACCCCTCCTCGCTTGCACAGCGTGCCGCGGGGCGCCGGTACCGGGGCGGGAGGAGGGGGAGCCCCGGGGGTAACTCC